TAGGATTGATATATAAACAGGGGTCTGTGTGATTGTCTGACAGCCAGCCCCAAACATTCCAAAATGAGCTGTGGCTAAGTGAAATGTACTTACTATCTATCTGAGGGACAAGCTGGTGCCCTGCACCTGAAGGTTCACGGTATATTGACTGTCAGGAGAGTCAAACCAAACACGAAATTAATATTGGTTTCCTGCCTTATTTTTCTTTGTAAATATTACTAGTTGAATTGCCCCTGGCCCATGATTTTTGCTTTGATTTTGCACAGGAAAGGAAAGCTTCATGCATTGTGACCTATCTTCTCTTTCCAAAGTACTGTCAGGGGCATAGCAGCTGAACACAGCCAGAAAAAGAAGTCAGAAAAGAATCGGTTCAGATTTCTTCTGATGTGGTATAGAAGACCCTAGACAAAAGTCTGGTTTTACTTTCCAGCTGTATTCAGATGAACTGGCCAGTTATTGCATGTAGTAATTTAAAATGAATAGGAGATAAAGTGAAAAATAGACCCTTGAGCAGGCATGTAACATGCAACAATCAGAACATTAAAAAGCACATTTAATCTATTGGAGCACCAACTGATACTATATATTTTCCTGCTGTGCCCTAAATAGAGAGATTCTTCTTGGACATGTCAACAAATAAAAATGAAATTGGAGAAAAATACTTAATATTATTGAGACTGCTTTACAGCCATGATTGGGGTGTTTTTTTGTTAGAAGTGGGAGGTGGAAGTATGTAGGTAGGACTAGCAGATTTCTGTCAGAGGTGAATCCAGAGTGTACTAGAAGATCCAACTGGATTGTTTCTAGAACAGAACTATTCTATTCTTCTTCTAGCTTTGGGATCTAGTGGCTGGGAAGCTGATGTTCGAGTTTACAGGACACACGGGCCCAGTAAATGTTGTTGAATTTCATCCCAATGAATACCTCTTGGCTTCAGGCAGCTCTGACAGGTATGCACAAGGAAACAAAAAGCAAGAAGCTTATATATCAGCTCCCATACCTTGTGTCCATCTTCCTATGAATACTGCTGCATTTGGGTTGTGTGATATACCTGTCATTGAAGAAGCTGGTCAGATCACAACTGTAGTGTTCAGCGTATGCAGATTCTACCACATTCATTCAAAATTAGTGTAGCAGAAAGTGCTAACTCAGTATTGGCGAACTAGACTTGAGCTGATTTGTAAATGCAGCCTGTTTTGAATGAAAGGCAGTTTTTCTTTACTTTAAAAGTCATCCATGGCTGTGGGTCATCTCTGGATACCTGGAGAGCCAATAAGTATGGCCCAGAGCCACCTCCTCTAGGTTTCAGTATTAGCACATAGCAGTTAGCTTTGTTGTAGTAATTACTATAAGGTTTAATATTAAACATCACACAAGAGTCTGGGCCTGGCTAGAACGCAGTAGGCATTAAATGAATTGTACAATGATTCTTTCATTGCACTCTGTGTACAGGACAGTCCGATTCTGGGACTTGGAGAAGTTTCAAGTGGTGAGCTGCATTGAAGAGGAAGCCACTCCTGTCAGGTATACCACAGCAGATAAGTTAGTGACCTAACACGAGGGTGTGGCCTTGTTAAGTGTTTTTTTTCATTAATGGGATGCCTTGTTGTGCATGTGCTATTGAATATGTAACTTGTCCACAGTGTTCATGTTTATGCTCTGGTCAAAAGATCCAGTGAAGTTGGCTGTTCAGCCCTGGTGTCTGGGAGGGAGGCAGAGAGGGAGTGAAGGCTTAGCTAAATGTTGGTGTCTCTTCCAGGTGCGTTCTTTTCAATCCAGATGGCTGTTGTTTGTACAGTGGCTTCCAGGATTCACTGCGTGTGTATGGCTGGGAGCCTGAGCGCTGCTTTGATGTGCTCTTGGTGAACTGGGGGAAAGTGGCTGATCTGTCTATGTGCAACAACCAATTGGTGAGTGATCCTGCTTAAGACAGAGATAAGAGTATGTGCAGTAACCAGTTAGTCCCCTGGCTCTTAGTTCTCAACAGTAGCAGCATTCACAGTCCTTGTGGTGTGCAGCTTGGTCATATTCATGGCCTTGATGCTTGTACAGTGAGTTCAAAGTGACACAAGTGTGAGAGCAATGATCTCTCCTTGAGTTGCTGCATGTATGGTTTTGTACTTAAACCCCACGTCGGGACTCTGCATTCCTGAGGAAGGAGTGAGTTGTAGTTGGGGTTATAATCACTTCTTTTTTTTTATCTTTGGGCTCAGATATTTTACCTCACATGTGCATGAAAGCTATTAGCTCAAGTGCCAAAAGTGTGATTCTACAAAGGAAACACTAAGTTGCCTAGCTATTCCACTGTTATGGATGGAGTAGAAATAAAATGTACCTTACATCACTTAACAAGGCCCTGACAGCTGTGAAGAGAGCCCAGGTTTCCTGATTTCACTCCCATTCATCAGCCCTGCCCATGCTGCTTCGGTTCTTCCGTAATGTGGCTGTTCAGTTACATAGTACGCTTCTTGCCTGCACTTAAACAGAACCTTATCTTCTCCTAAATGATGCCCTGTGAGATGGTTTTGATTACATTCGCAGTAGATTGTTCTTCATTTTGTTGGCACTCCAAAACGTTAAAGTACCTTCCAGTAACGTTTAGCTTTACTTGTTTTAAGTAGTTTCTCCATACTATTATGTGATTTCTTTTTTAAACAGAATAAACTCTTGGGACTAGAGCTGAGTGGGAAACTGAGACCTCACACACTTTTTCTTCTAGCTCTTGTTGGGACGAAAGCAGGGAAGGCCACCAGAGTCCTGTGATTGGGACATTCACTTTGCATGTAGGACTTGAACTGTGGTTTCTCATGTCACAAGCAAATGCCCTAACCACTTGGTTACTAGCTCTTTCAGAGTGGAGTGGGGTGGGATGTCTCATTTTCTTTGATTTTGATGAACTGCTGTTTTCCAGTGAATAAATAGTTCACTGAAAACTTTCCAATTGGCACTATTTGGAATTAATCCATGATACCTCATTTTAGAGCAACTGTTATGCTGGTCTCTGAAAAAGTTACTGTTTTCTTCACAGATAGGAGTATCCTATGCAGAGTGTACAGTCTCTTCATTTGTTGTGGACCTCAGCAAAGTCAAAAAGTCTGGTTCCGTTCTTCATGGGCTAATTAGGGATGACAAGCCTCTTATTCAGCCCATACCCACAGGGTCCTCCCTTAGACGCATCTATGACAGGCCATCAACTACCTGTAGCAAGCCACAAAGGTAAGGATGAATTTTGTGTGTGCATCTCCCCACAGTCCCAAATTGTAATGCTCAGAGGGCACTTTTTTACACATGCTCCAGGGATGGCAGTGTGGTGATTCACAAGATGCCATAGTGTATCAGCATCCCCATGCTTCAAAATGGCTGGGCGGCGGGGGCGCTTAAACTAAAGCACATTCGACCCATGTTCCAGCAGACTCAATTAATCGAGCCTGCTTCAACGCACTGTAATTACAGCACAGCGAAGCAGCCTCCATGCTCGTGTACAGGCACCCAGAGGGATTGGTGCTCTCTCACCAGTATACCCTGCATGACCTCTCATGATTGGATTTCTTATCACCATAGGGTAAAACACAACTCGGAGAGTGAGAGACGCAGTCCCAGCAGTGAAGATGACCGAGATGAGAGAGAATCAACTGCTGAGATCCAGAACCCAGAGGATTATAAAGAAATCTTCCAGCCCAAGAACTCCATCTGTTAGTACCAGACTCTGTCCTGTACCTAAGTTAAAGTTCAGGGGCTTCAGAATAAAACCAACTCTAGGGATGAACTGTGACAGACTGTCCTAGTGACACAGTCTGTACCTGTTGGAATTCAGAAAAACGTTACTTAGAATTTTGTGTTTAATACCAGGGATGCTGACTCAAGGGTGACACAGACAAATTGTTGGAAGTTTGCATCTAATTAGCATACAATGAAGCAGATTTTAGACTGCCTTTTTGTTAAGATCAAGAGAGTCTACTGCTTTATAGGACCTTTATTCAACTAGAATTCTGGCAATAGGCACCATACAGTATATTTCCAATTGCTTCGATTAAAAATGGGAAGGTTATAAATGTTTACTTCAAAACCGACCTACAGCCATTTAGGCCAGTAATAAATTTAAAATAATATTAGCTACTTAATGCATTGTTATAGGAAGTATTTAACTTCCCTGCCTCTGATGTTGATGTCTTAGATGTTTACACATATTTCAGCTTTAGTAATATAATTGCACTTCCCCCTGACTAATGAAATACATTGATTGGTTTGGCTCCTTGTAGCTGCAGTGGCTACAGACCTTCAGCTAAAACTAAACAATAATAAAGGCAGTCTCTGGAGAAGATACAGCAGACTGGGTTATCAGTGGTTGTGCTAAATTGACTTGGTTGTTATGAGTCATACAGATCCAGGACTGACCTAATATATGACCTTACTTTTAACTTTTTATCCTTTTTATAGCTCGAACTCCTCCACACAAGACTGAGCCCTTTCCAGCTCCTCCTGAGGATGGTGAGTTAGGACTATCCATCTGATACCAAGGAAGGATAAGGGGTATGAGGTCCTTCTATAGGAATTTACTTGTCTATTAAGCATCTACAGTTTTCTGCTTTATAGTCAAACAGTCAAATTATGTAGAATCTTTGCTAAAAGGTTGTAAAAGAAATATAGTGTGACTCTTTCTGTTTTTTACCCCTCACCTCAGAACCTCTTACAGTAAAGGAAGCAACAAAGCCCAGCCAAACTGTGGATATTCAGACCCCACTGCCAAAGCAAGAAAATGTACGTATCCTGTGTCCTGTTAATCTTTCAGCACCCTGTCTTCAAAGCAATCTAAGCACTAGTGTTACTGTTACTTTGCTAATCATGCCAGTTTCTCCATGACCCTGTGCAGGGTCAGCTCTTTAGCAGGAGAGATAAGGATGGAGGCCAGGCCTTCAGCTTGGATTCATTCCCCAGCAGGTTTTGACTCTGCCTCTTTCAATAATTTTTCCACATTTATAGCCCTGTTTCTCCTCACCCCTCAAAAGCCAGTGTACCCTGAAGAGAAATAGCTGCCAAATTTAAAGTGTCTAAAATTCTTACTACTTTAGATCTACACTGTAGTTTGTGGCCATCCATCGCCTGGTTTTGGATGCTTTTAACAGTGAAACTTAGGACTTTACACTTTCCTTGCTCCTTTCTGTGAGACATCTCCAGGAACTCCACAGGCTTTAATTAATTATTATTATTTTATTAATTATTTCTGGGGAAATACTTGATTTCATTCAGCCATGCCAGTAAATTGGAGATGGGCCTTGCTCCAAAAAGGATAGATGGGTTAGGATAGAGGGTGTGAGGTCTTGGGCAGAGTACTGTTGCTGATGCTCTTACTTAATTCTCCTGCAGCCTGACCCAGTTCAGATGCCACCAATTGCCTCCTCAACTCCTGTGTCCAGGGCAGAGCCATCAGTGATTCCTGCAACCAGGGATCAACCCATTGGGTTGAAGGCCTCTGACTTTCTGCCAGTAAGTAACTACCTTTTTACAAAGGAGGAGCGATAGGTGGTTTGGAGAAAAAAAGGAAGGAGTTGTGCTTGGCCTGGATCTGCTGTGCTCCTTCTGAGTACAGGTACTGCCATTTATGACCCAGTACAAGTATTACTGAAGTGATGTTGGTCTTTGTAGGTTAAACGAAATAGATGGCGCGTTATCCTGGCAACAGTTAAACCATCAGGGCGCCCATACACAAGTGCAGAGGCTGGTCCAATGTGCTGGAATTCCAGTACATCAGAGCAGACTTGATTAATCGAATCTGGTGGAGTGGTAATTCCTGTACTCCAGCAGCCTCCTGTGTTTTGTGTATCAGCATCCCCGCACTTAAAAATGGCCACCACTCTCGGAGCCACTCTAATTAAAGTGCTGCCCCCTCCTATCCCTGGAGTACATGTAAAAGTGCTCTTAGATGCCACACGGATGAGAGAGAGAGAGAAGCAAGAACTAGGCAGAAGCCTGCTCTCTCACTCCTTAGTATTGTCCTTTCCAAAGTATTTGCTCATGTTCAGCTTTGATTCAGAACAAGAAGAGGGAGCAAACCTGTGAGATGAGCTTAGGGACACGGTAAGCAACAGGGCTCTTTAAACCATAATCTGTTCGGTAAAAATTGCCCCATGTGGTGTTCCTAAAGCTGCATTTCAGGTCGTTGAATGAGGCAGCTGAGGGAGAGCAGCAGTCCCATTCTCCCTCAGAATGCCTCTCAGCAGAAAGACTCTCCCCTGCCCCTTATTGCTGTGTTGTGTATTATTTGTATTGCAGTGGAGCAGAATCCCATTGCTCCAGGTGTTGTACATGTTGCAAATATGCACTGAAAAGATGGTGCCTGCCCCTGAAGAACTTAGAGTCTATTTACAACAGGAAGATGTTGACAGGCAAAGACACAGGGAGAGCACATACTGTTCCATGTAATCAGCACTAGTCCAGTGTACCAGCTGCATAGCCATTCCTCTGTGTTTGTACACATAACTGCCAGGGTCAGTTTTTCTCAAAATTATTTCATTTACATCTTACTGCAGACTTTGAAAAAAGAAGCTTCCAGAATCTCCCCGGGGGGGAAGTTCTTTTCCCTACCTGCATTTGAACAAGGTGCACTCCTGATCTCAACAATAACTATGACCAGATGAAGAGGTTCAGTCTAGCTTGGACAAATGTATGAGTCTCCAACAGTATGAACTGGGAGATTTAAGCTTTTTCATGAGGAAATATGTGACCAACTCCTATTAAAAATTTCTAATTAGAAAATAGGGTTTGTTTAACAAGATTTTTTGCAATTTTTTATACATCTTACATTTTTTTACAAATTTGTTGTTTAAAAATATTATGGGATCCCCCTAATTTCTAGCACTCGTTTTTAACTTTCAGCAGATGGAAAACAGTTGAGAGGAAGGGGAGGATGAGAGGAGCTCCATCTACACCTCAAAATTAAAACAACTTTAAAAAAAGTTGAGCTATTTGGAGTTGAAACCAAATGGAAATGTCCTTTCCAAATGTCTCAAAATAAAAACTACTCTTCTGGAAACTTACCATGAGAAATCAATACTTTTCAAAAGAAATATTTTAATAGGATGTTCTTGGTTGTGTGGAGTTTTTTTGTTTTAAGAAAAAAAACTCCACAGGAAATAATCTGTTTTTCTTCCAGCTCTAACTTTTATAAACTGGAATCAGTTTATTCTTAAAGGTCACTTTGAACAAAAGTTCAGGCTTGCAGAATAATACTTCTTTATCCATTTCCTTACTCTGTCAGAAGAGTCGGACTTTTGTGCATTGATATGAATTCTCACATAGCCCATAGTTCTGCCCTAGGGGAAAGGGATGGCTGTCAAAATAAGCCCCCTTTTAATGTCTTGGTCCAGGGCATCTTGTTCTGCCATGAGTGATCTTTTGGAGATTTTCCTGTCTGTCACTCTACAGGCTGTGAAGAACCAAAGCCAGACTGAGATAGTGGATGAAGAGGCCATGTCCCAGATAAGGAAGGGCCACGAGACCATGTGTGTTGTGCTCACAAGCCGCCACAAGAACCTGGATACCGTGCGGGCAGTGTGGAGCACTGGTGACATCAAGGCAAGGAAATGGGGATTATTTAGTGTCAGGGACAAATCAAACTTCTTGGGGTATAAAACTAGGAGGACAGTTTGAGCAGCATATGCAGCTGGTCTGGAGCTGCCTCTGACCCTCAGACTACTGGAAGATGCAATACTGTAGCGCCTCCATCCCTCTAATGTTAGTCCCTTGCTTGGGCGATCGGTATTTCCCTACCAGCTTTGTCATCTTTTTTGGATTCACAATCTGAAACATCTACTAATAAAAGTCAATCCATTCCTAGCTTTGCACCTCAGATTGATAATGCCTGATTCAAAAAAAAGTGCAGGAAGAAGCATTGCTTGCCTGAGAGCAGAATGGGAGCTTATACAAGGCTTCCTGTGCAGGAAATGGAGGAGTGGATGAGTATGTTGCTGAAAATAGTAAGATGGCCGCTGGCAACCATCTACCATATCTGCCTCTCCATGTCCCTCTCCTTGTTTTTAGAAAGTGGTGCTTAGGATAATCTTGGGGGTCTGTCAATATGAGCCTTGCACTAACTTTTTCCTGCTTCCTCTTTCTTCCTCTCAGACATCTGTGGACTCTGCCGTGGCTATCAATGATCTCTCTGTTGTAGTGGACCTCCTGAACATTGTCAATCAGAAGGCGTAAGTACCAATGGCTGTTACACCTGCGTAAGGATCTCTCTCACGATTGCCTTCTGGGGCTGCCCAATCTGAAATTCGTGAGGTGTGTCTGCCTCACATACAGTGAAGTGTGGAGTTTTTTGGTAGCTGTGTAGCTGGGGGAGGGACATGGGGAGCCGTGTAATCGGGAGAAATACTAGACAAGCTTTTGGCCATTCCTTACCTTGTCCTGACGCACAGCATGTATGTACCATACCATAGTGAAATGTTTTTGCCCTTAGTCAAATCTTTGAGTCTGTAGTACTCTAGCACCAGTTGTTGCAGTGCCTTTGTCTTTAGCAGTTAGTATTACTGAAGAAAAACAAGTCTTTTGGAAAAAAACTTCATGAAATAATTCTCCCGGAATGCAGATTGACAAAAGCTGCTGTTATGCCTCTCTCCATCACAAGGCGGAGAGAGTGAACTCAAGCTGTGAGCTGAATTACCAGGGTATTTGTGCCTGAATGTATTGCATGTGTTAAATCAGCCCCTGAGGCTTCAGTCTCCAGCTCTTAGAGGGGTTTTTTTCTCTTCCAGGTCTCTCTGGAAACTGGATCTGTGTACTATAATCCTGCCTCAGATAGAGAAGCTCCTTCAAAGTAAATATGAAAGGTGAGGTCACCAAGATGTATTTGTTCTGGGTGCAAATGATAAGCTAGGAGCATTTGTAGAATAATTTTACTGAGCAATGCATAGTTGATCAGTAAAGCAAAATCAGGCAGGGGCACAGTATTGTACAGTTACAGCAACTGGAAGAGATGCAGTTGGCAAGGGCTAGAGGGTGAACAGGAGACTTGGGGATGGGGATTGGATCTTTTTTGTACCAGAGCTGAATTTCCCATTAAGAGTGATATCTTGAGATTAGGAGAATGGTTATGAAGGCTCTGACTTGAAGGTAGGTGTACCAGAATTGGGGGCTAAAGAGGTTGAAGCCTAGTTAGTCTGGCTCAAACAGTTAATGAAATGAACAGACAATTGGCTTCATAGTTTCATAGTTGGTAGGGTCAGAAGGGACCTGAGCAGATCATCAAGTCCGACCCCCTGCCAGGGGCAGGAAAGAATGCTGGGGTCAAATGACCCCAGCAAGGTGATTAGCTAGCCTCCTTTTGAAGACCCCCAGGGTAGGAACGAGCACCACTTCCCGTGGAAGTTGGTTCCAGATCCTAGCCACTCTGACTGTGAAGTAGTACCTCCTGATGTCTAGTCTGAATCTACTCTCAGTCCATTTATGGCCGTTATTCATTATTACTCCCGGTAGTGGTCAAGGGAACAGGGACTCTCCCGTTGTCTGCTGGTCCCACTTGGCCAGTTTATAGACAGCCACCAGATCCCCTCTCAGCCTTCTCTTGTGGAGCCTGAACAGGTTCAGGTCCCGTTGCCTCCACTCGTAGGGCCTGCCTTGCTGCCCCCAATCATGTGGGTGGCCCTCCTCTGGACCTTCTCAATGCTATCCACATCCCTCCTGAAATGCGGCACCCAGACCTGGACACAGTACTCCAGCTGAGGCCTGACCAAGGTCGCATAGAGGGGGAGGATTACCTCCTTGGACCTGCTCGTGATGCATCTGTGGATGCATGACAAGGTGGGGTTAGCTTTCCTGACCACGTCCTCACATTGGTGGCCCATGTTCATCTTGGAATCGATAATGACTCCAAGATCCCTTTCTGCCTCTGTGCTGACAAGAAGAGAGTTCCCCAGCCTGTAGGAATGCTGCTGGTTCTTCCTCCCCAGGTGCAATACCTTGCACTTGTCAGTATTGAAACCCATCCTGTTCTCATCCACCCACCCCCTGTCCAGATCTAGTTGCAGCCTGTCTCTCTCCTCTAGCGTGCCCACTTCTCCCCACATCTTAGTGTCATCTGCGAATTTGAACAAGGTACTTTTCACCGCATCGTCCAAGTCGCTGATGAAGATGTTGAACAGTGCAGGCCCGAGGACTGAGCCTTTGGGGGAACCCCACTGCCCACATCCCTCCAGGTCGAAAATGACCCATCCACCGCTGTTCTGTCATTTGAGCATAGAAATCTGCTTTGGTGCTCAGTCTCCATAAAATGTGATGGTGCTCACAGCTGAAGAGATTCAGAAGGAAGCTGGTCCTTTAGGAAGCTTCTATGTTTCCTCACTGTATGTTGAGGAGCCACAAAGAAATCACCCACATAACCATGAAGCTGCCCCCTGACTTCAATTCCCGGGTCCAGGTCAACGGACTCTTAAGTATCTGGCTTCTGTTCACGCTCCTATGTATCCGAGTGCTCTTGTTCACTATCCTTCACATTGAAATTTATAGCTAGGGTTGGCGAAAGAGGTAAGGAAAGGAAAGGGCTGGAACTGAGGAAGTAGGACCCCAGGAGATGCCTGGTTGCAGAGAAAGATTCATGGCCAGGCACTGAACAAGAGCACTTGGATAGGTAGGAGCGTGAACAAAAGCCAGGTACTTAAGTCTCCATTGACCTGGACCAGGGAATTGAAGTCAGGGGGCAGCTTCATGGTTATTTGGATGGTTTCTTTGTAACTGGGCAGTTTTGAGCTGGGGGCAACAGTAGCAGCACATGGGGCAGCAACACCTGGGCTGGCAGCTGCAGCGGCTGCTGTTTTTGCACACTTGCCCCCCAGGACTGGTGCCCTGCTTGTGCCCCCCCACCCCTGCTTAGTTATGCTACTATAAATTATCCTGGGAGATGGAGCAGACAAGTGACCAGTTATCTGGGAGTGACTCCCCTGAGTAAGCACCTCACCACTAGGTGACAGGAGAGCAGGTAATAATAGCCTGTCTGTCTTGAGTAAACAGCTACCTATGGATTGCTACAGATGCATGATGCTTACAACTTGCACTGGTGTAGTTTCACTCCTGATTTTTTTTTCCCCCTGAATACTTCTGTGCTGTATTCAAGTAAGTTATGTTTGTGATAGTGGGGAGAAGTGGGCACGCTAGAAGGGAGGGACAGGCTGCAATTGGATCTAGACAGGTTACAGGGGTGGGCGGATGAAAATAAGATGGGATTCAATACTGACAAGTGCAAGGTACTGCACCTAGGGAGAAAGAACTAGCAGCATACCTACAGGCTGGGGAACTCCCCTCTCATCAGTGCAGAGGCAGAAAAGGATCTTGGAGTCATTATAGACTCCAAGATGAACATGGGCCACCAATGCAGGGATGCAGTCAGGAAGGGTAACCGCACCTTGTCATGCATCCACAGATGCATCACGAGCAGGTCCAAGGAGGTGATCCTCCCCCTCTGTGCGACATTGGTCAGGCCGCAGTTGGAGTACCGCGTCCAGTTCTGGGCGCCGCACTTCAGGAGGGATGTGGACAGCATTGAGAGGGTCCAGAGGAGGGCCACCCGCATGATCAGGGGGCAGCAGGGCAGGCCCTACGAGGAGAGGCTAAGGGACCTGAACCTGTTCAGCCTCCACAAGAGAAGGCTGAGAAGGGATCTGGTGGCCGTCTGTAAACTGGCCAAGGGAGACCAGCAGGCAATGAGAGAGTCCCTGTTCCCCCGAGCACTACTGGGAGTAATAAGGAGTAACGGCCATAAGTTGAATTCTTTCCTGCCCATGGCAGGGGGGTGGACTTGATGATCTGCTCAGGTCCCTTCCAACCCTACCAACTATGAAACTATAGAGGCTTATGCCATCTGTCCTCTCCTTGTTTCCACTGGCATAAAGGCAAGTAGACTGGTGTAAGAGTGTTGTATATGAAGTGAAATCCAAGAGATAGCTGATCCTTTGGTTTTATGTCAGTTATGTACAGACTGGCTGCACCTCATTGAAGCTGATTCTCCAGAGGTTCCTGCCACTGATCACAGACATTCTTGCTGCACCACCTTCTGTTGGAGTGGATATTACAAGAGAGGAGAGGTAAGACATCCTAACCACCTCCATCCCCCACAAGCCCTCTCTTGATGCCATGGCATCAGGCTATTTTTTTTCCTTTTGGGCTGATAGAGGCTGAATGGGGCTCCTTCTCAGCATCTAATTCTTGCTTGTTGAAGCTAGAGAAGTTGCTGCAAAGCTGTGCAGTGCATTCCCTCTCTCTTCACTTCTATATTCCTGTGTTTTAGGAGTGAAGGGGCAGACCAGAGAGGCACATTCAGGCACATGAGCTAGTGTTCTTTCTGCTGCCACGTGGTTCTGTCCCACACTAGGAGTGTTTATAGAATACCAAACAGCCCCAGTACTACAAGGCTGTGTTCCAGTATCTTCAGCAGGGAGTTGCATCTGTAGGATTTCTTCTTAAATGTGGCTGTACTCTGAAAAGTGGTTCTGCAGAAATGGCATCTCCTTACTCCCCAGACCTGCGTGCTTAAAGGAGAAAAAAAGTAGAGGCAGCATAAATCAGAGGCAGAGAAACTCTTCTTTCTGCCACCATCAGATGTGTTTACTAGTCTCTGAATGGCTACCTCACATACACATTGATATTCCAGTCTGTCCCTTCACTAACACCTACAGTTCTGAGGGGCACAAATCTTTTTTTTTCATAACAGATCCATGTATGTGCACATCTCCCATGGGGTGTTGGACTCATGCCCCATGCATCTTTCTTTGCAGGCTCCATAAATGCAAACTGTGCTACAAACAGCTGAAAAATATCAGCAACATAATCAAGAACAAGTCTGGACTGAGTGGCCGCCATGGCAGTGCCTTCCGTGAGCTGCATCTCCTCATGGCTGTCTTAGAGTAACAGTTGTCTCCTCCTTCTCACACGCAAGCACACAGGTGGCCAAACTTTTCTGCCCCCACTCCAGCCATCTTCCATCAGTCTTGTTCTGTGTCCATCCATGTTCCTTACAATGAAGACCCTGCTGGCTGGCTGGCCACCTGCCCCCACCTCCAGTGCCTTCCAGGCTGGATTGAAAACCTGAGTGGAGATGTCTGTCCTGTGCCCAGGCAGGGCCTAGCTGGACTAGGACACTGCAGAGTTCATATCCTCGTCTAGTTCTTGTGTGAAATTTGCTTTCATCCAACTCTCTGCAGAATTCTTACCTGCTTGGCCTCCTAGTACTGGTCTCTGCCTGATGGAAGGGTCTGGATCTGCTCTTGCTCTGCATTCTCCTCTCCTGTGTGCACTGTTGTTACCTGGCTACTTCGGCCATGCGGAGGCCTTGTGGACCACTTGGAACACTTGAGTCTGGAACTGGAGATCTGTTCCTTCTGGAAGCTGCTGTTTGTGTGGGGGCACTGTAGAAAAGCCTGGCTCGGGACAGAGTGCCTTTTCCCCAGAGCATGGACATGACCCAGGCTTCCCAGTTGGTATTTGGGGCTAGCCCCTTCTGTGAATTAATTCAGAGCATTTGAGCCCGGATGCCTCTCAGGACCAGCCCTGCTGCTGTTGCACCTGAAGTCCTCAAGCTTTTTTTTCTAATGGAAGGTGTCTTACAGCTTGCCGTATAAGTGGGGTTTCGAAAACCCCCCTTGGTGGCTTTGAGCCACATAGCTGTACTAAGGTTAAAATCTAGTCAGGAGTAGGAGGGAGATGGGTCTGCCTGATCTGTTTGTATACATGGGTGAGACAGGATTTTCCATGTGTGTATTGCTTGGGGGGGGAAGGGGAGTGTTAAACCAGGAGTGGGGGAGGGGCAAATGGACATGGATTAACCTCTTGCTATACCCATTGGACTCTTGGATTTTTTTCCCCAATAAATGGCTGTCACAACTTTTCTGTCCCTTCTAGCTTCTTTCCACTGGGGAGAAAGGCTCCTGTGCTGGGGGTTCCCTCTTCGTCTTTGTCCCGTTCATACACTGGAGCCTGCTGTTTGGGAAGCTGTAATTTATAATGATTTTATTAAAGATTTGTAACTTTTTTTGGACACTTATGTTTAAATGTCTGAGTTTCTTTCATACCCACAGTCCCACCTTGTGGCCCTGTTGAAAACATGGAGGCGATAGGAGGACTCTGCTTTCTAGACATGTAAAATAGAAGCCAGCCTGTGACCATGTCTTCATCCAGTGTGCGGGTGGCACTAAATGAGGCTGATTCTAAACGTAGGACCAACTTAAAAGGCAGTGCAGAACAAGCCATGAAGAGGACTGAGGCAATGGTCCAGAGTAAAGCTGTCATGGAACACAAAGAGCAGGGCATGTCTTGAGGGATCAGTGGTTAAATCCTGGATGACCATTGTTAGGGAGCAGCAGGGGTCTGCAGTTCAGAGTAGTAGAGCTCTACATGGGAACCTTGCAGTTTCCCTAAACACGGATTCCAATGGTAAAAAGTTATGTACCACTCCATTGGGTTTACACCATAATCATGGCTTTGGTCCCAGCTTGTCAACAATTTATTTCACCTGCAGGCCTATTAGCCATTGCTGGATGGTTCAGTATGAATAAGAGAAAGGGGACAGGCATGATGGTTTGTCATCTGGAGCCATAAAGCCAAGTGTCTTTGCTCCTGTGTAAATTAGCAAGGACTCTCTCAGGAAAGGTAGAGCAGGGCTTGGGGTAAAATCTGTTATAAGCTGTTTGAGGCTGCTCCAAAGAGAGAAAGAGACCAAGGACCTGTAGGGGAACTTGTAAAACACTTTGGGGTCTCTGGCTGGTGACATGCTTACTGCTTAATCCAGGCTGTTTTATAGAGCTACGTTCATGTCTGTTTTTTGTCAGAGTGAAGAGTCTCAGCCACAGTCCTCAAGCTGCTAGTAACAGGGGCAGCCAAGATATAAAAATACAACAGGGAGAGAAACACTATCATGATGTAGGTTTTGATGCATTGTTCCAGAGTGAGCCCAAGGCACACAGGAACAGTTTCTCAATAAACAGTAGTTAGAGCACAATTTGTCATCTGCAAACTAAGCAAGCAATACAACATGTTTGGGTGAGGTTTGCCTTGAGAACCTAGAGAGAAGCAAAGCATGAAGCCAAAAGCCATAGCTTGATCTTCAAGATACCCAAGATGTTCTAGCACCCAGTACCATTGCATTCAGGGAGCAATGGAAAAAATGTCACAGAACAGCAACTGAAGAGAAACTTCAGCCTTTTTCAGCATCAGCTGCTGCTGCATCAAAAAGAACTGGGCTGGTTTGTTTTCTACAACTGGTCTTTCATAGACCAGCCAGTAAATATAAGGTCATTGGAAGTGCCTGAATCCCTATGGAGATGCTGAACTGAGATGGAAAAAACTTGCCTCTTGTGAACATGATAGGAAAACGGCTGAGTTAATACACACCTCACTCTTCAGTATATAAAATTTTGGGTCAGAGGGGGTGGGGGCTGGAAACATGCTTGTACTGTATGTTAAACTGCTCTAACTCCGGCCTCTTCATGTGTGAAGATGAAAACTGCAGATAGATGCCTTGCAGCCAGAGCCTATTGTTCGTTAGAGATCCAGCTTCATCTCTTGGGACACTATCAGAGCAGCATGCAGCAGCCAGCTGCTTGGTTAAGGTTGTAGCCAAGAAGCATTTGATGCAAGGAGCCCGACTCCACTTTTAAGAAATGCAACCGCATTTGAGCAATGCCTCGCACTGTGGCAGTAGACAGCCTTTATTTAAGTCCATACTGGGTTGGTTGGCCCTAGCTATATACTAAGATTGCTAGCAACCTGGAAGGCCTGTTTGGTTTGTATGGCCTGCCTCCTGGCATCTTTTCTTTCTTGCTTCTACATCATCATCGTTCCATAATTCGTAGTATTTTGGGAACTGTGTGATCTTGGGGATTTTTATGCAGATGCTACTGATTAATTGTGTCTTAGAGCTCTAGGTAGGCTGCAAATGCTTCCTTGTAAATGGGTTAAATTAAAAAAAAATCAAACCTAAGGTTTCAGCTAAACAAAATCCATTACAGGTGAAATCAGTCTGCAGCTGGCTTCAGCACATATCTCTAGTTTACAGCCCTGTGGTTATTTGCATTTCAGAGGTGGTGGGCAGCAAAGAACAAGCTTGGCCTTTTCCTTGTCCCTCAGCCTGTCAACCCAGTGCTGTCCACCCATTGTGTAGCCTGTAGGAAGTCTGTGTTAGGACATGTAGGTATTGCAAGGTCCTACTGGCCCATAACGGCTTTGTGATCAACATGATTAATTCCACACCCAACTAGACCAAGCAGCTCCCCAGCAGGACAAGAGCCCAAAACAGCATGTGATTTATAAAGTTACAGGTGTGAATCAGACTACAGTGAAGGGGAACCTCCTCTCCTGAATGTCGTTTGACTAAACTGTCCATAGGAATTTTGCTCTGATTGTAAAGGTCTGACATGAAACCAGGAGGACGTCGTTGAGACTGTTCTCAGTAGTGGCAGATGCCAGAACAAGGAGCAACAGTCTCAAATTGCATCAAGGGAAGTTGAGATTAGATATTAGAAAAATCTCTCTCACTAGGAGGGTAGTAAAGTAGTCAAACAGGTTCCCTAGAGAGGTTATGGAATCTCTATCCTTGGAGGTTTTTAAGACAGGTAGACAAAGCCTTGACTGGGATGATCTATTTGGGGATGGTTCTGCTTTCAACAGGTGGGAGTTGGACTAGATGACTGCCTTAGGTCCCTTCCAGCCCTAATTTTCTATGATTCTGATAAAGGTGCAGGGTGTATCCAAATCAAATCATGTGTACAATAGGGTAGTGACCTACGGCCTGTAGCGGGCCAGTAGGGGGAGCTCCTGCATTGAGCCTCCCACCTCACTACACCCATCCACCTTCCGGACTCCATGTCTCTCTCCAGGGGCACCTAAGCCCTGGCAGACCCCCTTTCGAGCCCCACCACAGAGTCCGGGGGTAATGCGTGCTGCTACCCCCCGCCCCAGAGGGGACCTTCTAGGTTCTGTGTCCTCAGGGAAACACAGGCCTAATAGTCCTACGGGTACTCAACCCAATACAAGCACTTGGGGCACCTCCCCAAGTCAGGGGCCAAAAAGGATAGTCTCCCTTAGTCTGCAGACCTAAGGGGCCTCCTAGGCATAATTAAACCCACCCCTCACTAAGTCTCCTGCACCAGTCACAAAGGAGAACTTTATTGGTTACAGAGGGGAGGGTTAGAATAGGGTGCAGAGTTGAGTGGTATCAGAGAAATCCCATAGAGCAAACAGGGTGGCTGGGGTAGCCTTTGATCTCACATCTGAGTTACTGCAAGTTATATATCTAGTTAGATCTCAGGTAGCTTACTTACAAGTATCATCCACAGGCAGGTGGAGATTCCCTCTGGAGGCAGGCAGTTTTTTGATCATGAGTTTTGAGGGAGAGAGCAAGTTTCAGATGGTACAACTCTTCTTTGGTCATGGCTGTTGCCCTCCTCCTGGGCAGTCCTTAACTTATATAGCCCTTGTGACCTCATTTACCTGGTCCAATGGAGGCCAGCACCTGCTGGCTGTCAGCCAACCAATTTGAAATACATCACTAGCTGCCGGGCAGACTCTAGCCCACCAGGAAGGAAGCCCCTCACCCAGGTATGTGATGCCAGTCACGTAGGCAGAGGGAGCAGGTTTCCCCCTTCCCTCAGGAATGTATCCAGCTCAGGTTACCTAAAGAGATAGGGTAAGGGATGTCTCTCTCTGCTGGGCCCATCCTAATCAAAATTGTCACATAACAGAGGTTTTGGGGGAGAAACAAAGGTGGCTTTCTGCCACACAGCGCAATTATAAAACTTTTCATTAGATCACTGCAAACATCACGCTGTAATATACCTACCTATGACCAGTGCCACTAGGAGCTGATCACTCCTTGATGATGTGATCAGACAGCATTTTTCAACCCGTGGGTTGCAACTCAAAAGTGGGTCGCAAGAATATATGAAAGGTCATGAACAAATTTTAAAAATGGATCAAAAACCTTTAAAAATGGATTCACCTTCAAAGGAGAAAAATGTGGGAAATGGTAATTTCCCTTGCAGGCTATCATACTCCCAGCCTGCAAGGGGCTGCCTGGGGACACCTGTCACATGCACACCTCCCCCTGCCCCACAGACTGGGGCGCTGGGGGTGGGGGGCAGTGGGTTGGGAGTGAGGGGCACCCACAGGGCCTGTTTTCTACTTAAACTATCGATGGCCAGTCCCGACCCAGTAAATGTTTACAAATGGGCCCTGATACCAAAAGGTTAGCAACCACTGGATCAGAACACTGCTGGTTTGTTGCAAGAGGAAAATTGGCTGCTGTGATAGAGTACTTGCTGGAGGATTCCTACACATCTGAACACTGCTCTCTTCAGCTACCTGACCTCACAACTCCAGGGCCCCTTTCCTGCAAAGTTGCCAGTGATTGCTTAGTGGGTTTGCACTTTTGATTTCACTCATGATTGGTAAAGGCTCTTATTCTGTCAAGACACAGGTCCCTTGGCTGAGTAGGTTGGGGTTACTTTATTAGAGTTTGCAAAGTCTGGATCACACAGCAGAAAAGGTGAACCTTTAGTCCAATGGGATTAGCACCAGTGCAAAAAGTAGGATGCGTATCTAGTTACCTCGGCTGAAACAGTCACCTGTATGGGAAGGGCAGTGTCCTTTCATACTTCTGTTCCACATTTGAGTAGGGGAAACGGTGATTACTGAGCTATGGGCCCATTATTTTCCTAACACTGAACTCACAACTACCTTATTAGCCAAGGAGCTGGACAGAAAGATGTCGTCTTTTCCTATCTATTTGCAGCTGGAATGCAGTCCAGCCCTTCAGTGTTCTTCCCATTTACAACAGCAATACTGAATCAGAAACCTCCAACTTACCCTATCGTATGGGACGCTGGCACTTTTAAGGTAGTGCTCTATCTGGTATAGCAAGGCCCTTAACATCAGCAACAGGAAAGCTACAACATACAATGGATTCCCTTCCCAAGACTGTTCCTAAAGCACACTACCCTTTTGTTCATTCCCTCTCTCTGCTCCATTCCCCTAACTCC